AAAAAACAGAGATAACGGAGAAGGAAAAGAAAGGAAAAAACATGCATCACCGACCATCTTGGTGGCGAGATGGTGGCCGGAGTTCAGAGGAGGACGGTAATGGATGGGTTAGCCGTGGGTTTCTACAATTTTCAAACATGAGAAGCCTAAGGAGTGCTTTCACATAACCCCTTCTTTGGGGAGAAGCCATTAGGGATTTTTCACCTTCAGCTTTCCTATTCTCGGTTTAAAACTGTAGTTTTCAGTTCGTGGGTATGAAGTGAAGAAAGAGTCTTTAATTTTATTCTCTTTTTAAAAAAAATGTACTGTACCTTTAATTTCTCTGAAAGGTGTTGAGGCGCGCCTCACAGGCGCCTCTCGCCACGTGAAAAGGCGAGCCGAGGCGTCCTGAAGCGAGCGCCTCGCGAACAGGGTCGCCTCAGGCAGTGGCGAGGCGATGTAGCCCTCGCCTTGGTCGCCTCGCCTCGAGGCGTCGCCATGGCGTCGCCATTTTAAACTATGGATGGATATGGATCCGTAGTTAATTTGAAAAAAGTTGTATGATTAGTTGTTAGTGGGATTGTGAGTTTATATTGAAATAATATTTGAAATAAAATAATTAAAATTGATTTGATGTAAAAGTAGGTAAGAGATGGTGTGAAGTGATGGTTAGTTAAAATTATGTGAGTGGATGAATAGTGAATTAAGTTGATGCGATTTGTTAGAAATTATTGATTGTTATTAATTAATTATATTGATAATACTGAGGATAGTGAGATTGAGTTAAAGTTGAGTTAAAAAAAATGATCGGTTGTTTTGGATCAATTCCATATCCAATCACACCCTAAGATTCTTGCATGAACTTCATACTGGTACAGTACTATTATTCTGGCTCCTTACATGTCTATATATTTATTGTTGTGTCCTTATTCTGTCAGGAGGAGTATATGGACTTCTCAACTCTGGAACAACGTTTACATGCTATTATTAAGCGCCCAATGAGTAATCACAGCCAGCAGTTACCACATGTTAATTCTTCCCCTCCTATTGGTACAATGATCCCAACTCCTGGATTTCAACAAACTGGTAATTCAAGCTTGTCCGGGACTTCATCCGTGGATAGTTCCCTCGCTGCCATGAATAACTCTAACTCAATCGCTTCATCAGCCGTCAGTTCTGGTGGCTTCGTACCAATGCGGAACTTGTCTGCTGGAAGTGTGCACTGTGATTCCTTCAGTTTATCCAATGGTAATTTTTTGTCGTGCCGCTCTCAAAAATAATAGATTTCGAGGTTAAATTCTCAATTGACTCACAATATGTTTTTCTTGCAGGTAATTTTGCTACCGGATATCAGCAATCATCCAATGCCTTCGTATCCAATAACGGTGTAAATAGAATGATAGCATCCATGAGTGCACAGAGAATGACGACCCAAATGATCCCTACTCCTGGAATCAACAATTCTACTAGTAATGATGTACATATGAATGTTAAGGTAGAGTCCACTAGTGGTGGTGCATGTCCCACAGTTGAGTCTACTAGCGCATCACAGGTTATGCTGCAAAAGCAGAATGCCAGAAGTCAAAATAGTCGGATATTGCATAATATTGGTGGGCAAATGGGTGGTGGAGTCAGATCTACATTGCAGCAAAAATCCTCGGGATTATCAGATAGGCCTGTGATTGGAGGGTCTGGAATGGCGGGGCATGTCACCGGGACAGTGTGTGGGACCTCTACAAAACCATTGCACCAACCTTTCGACCAATATCAACGACCGGGAATGAATGGTACTGAATTTCCCTCATCACTTCTGAGTTGGATGCTTGGGCATTGGATAAACATTATTGGGATTCTCCTCCAAGAATTATACTTAGAATTTTTTCAAAATTCTACAATTCATTCACAATCGTTTTACTTTCCACTTATTATTTCAATTCATTTTGTTAATATATTCATCATGCTTGCCATTCACCTACCCGCATATATAACATCCAATTGTTCATCTACTCAGAATGTTAACGTCCAATTATACCCACTTGTTATTTTTAGTATATTAACATCAAATTCAACTCGGAATATTTTATTTTCATCTCATTTCAATTATCACTCTTGAAATTCATCTCTCATTCAGAAGAAAAAAGAAACTCGATAAATAAATAAAACCTTCCGTATGCAAAGGGTATAAAATGTGCCTTTATTTTTACCTGTCACCTATCCCCTCTCTCTCTCTCCGCACGCTCACATTTTTTCCCCAGAAAGATATGTTTTGGCTGCTTTGTTTCTCCCACTAAATTAAGGTTGTTTTTCTAAATAGAGTAGCTAAAAATATCAAATTCCTTTTGTGCCCTTATTTGATTTGCATGGTAGTAAACAAAATGGTATTTTATAATATTGTGGATATAACAGGAAATTAATTCAAAATTTTAAAGATCAATATTGGAATTGGAATTCTATTAAACTGGGTGAAAATTTGAACAGACGAATTTTTGTAGGACTGTGGTACGTGTGTGTGTGTTG